TTGCTTTGGTCCCTGCCAAAAACAAACAGACGACAAAGACAACAACAACAACAACAACAAACCCTAAGCCAGATGTTTCTCAGCTAGATTCTGCAAGACATATAAGGAAGAGCTGATATCAACCCTTTTGAAAATATTCCAGGCATTCGAGAAGGAAAGAATTCTCTCTAACTCACTTTATGAAGCTAAGTTTTAAAAGTTCATAAAGTGGCGGAGAGTGGCTTTTAGAGTAACACTCGCAGCCCTAAGCTTCGGTTCCTCACAGCGGAGGCCAGGACTCTCCCCAGCCAGAGGATGAAGAGTTAGAAGAGGCCAAAATGTACCTTGAAAACTGAAAGTGGGGGGGATGCCTGAAAACGGCTTCAATATTCCCAGCACTCACCAAATTGCTTAAATGTTGAACCCGGAAATGAGAAGCAGGAAGTCGATCATGGAAGACAATTATAAGGTTACACCCAAGCGTGAATTTTGAAGCTCAGAAGCTTCCGTACAGTCCGACATAAGGCGGCGAGGAAGGATCCTGGGACTATGGCTTTCCCTGAGCCAAAGCCGCGGGCACCGGAGCTGCCGCAGAAGCGGTTGAAGACTCTGGACTGCGCGCAAGGGGCAGTGCGAGCCGTGCGATTTAATGTGGATGGCAATTACTGCCTGACGTGCGGCAGCGACAAGACTCTGAAGCTGTGGAACCCGCTTCGGGGGACACTGCTGCGGACGTACAGCGGCCACGGCTACGAGGTGTTGGACGCGGCCGGCTCCTTTGACAACAGTAGTCTCTGCTCTGGCGGCGGGGACAAGGCGGTGGTGCTGTGGGATGTGGCATCGGGACAGGTCGTGCGCAAATTCCGGGGCCACGCGGGGAAGGTGAACACCGTGCAGTTTAATGAAGAGGCCACAGTCATCCTGTCCGGCTCTATCGATTCCAGCATCCGCTGCTGGGACTGCCGCTCAAGAAGACCTGAGCCAGTGCAGACATTGGATGAGGCCAGGGATGGTGTATCAAGCGTGAAGGTATCAGACCATGAGGTCCTGGCAGGTTCCGTGGACGGCCGCATAAGGCGCTATGACCTCAGGATGGGGCAACTCTTCTCAGACTACGTGGGCAGCCCCATCACCTGCACCTGCTTCAGCCGGGATGGGCAGTGCACCCTGGTGTCCAGCCTGGATTCCACACTGAGGCTTCTAGACAAAGACACGGGCGAACTGCTAGGCGAGT